AGGAGAGAGAGAGAGAGAATTATAGTGCGCTGTAAGACGGAATACCAAGATTTCGCGAGAAAGTAGCCCGTGGTAAATGTAGAGGAACGTAGAAGGAGATCAGTAGGATGATTCGATGAATTTGTTCAAGTTTTATCTTCGTATCACTTCCTCGGGTAGAATTGTCTCCCGTGCATTTCGCAGTTTCACGTTAAATTTACGCTGACGCAGCTTTAGCTGTGGCGGAACGTTATTCGATAAATTATAATTACGCGGGATTACATTTTATTGACTCATTCGCCCCGCTCATCGGAGTTGTGTCACCAATGTGGTATCACGATGACGCTTTCATCGCGATGATCTCCAAATTGATTAACATACAAATATTTTACAACGGATTAAGCAGAGGTGCGGATTAAGCAATTTTCATCCTTTATATAAGTAAACTTTTATCTATTTTACGATATAACTTTTGTTAAAATTTGCTCGAGTTTGTCCGACCTTAAAATAGAAACATTGATACGTCGAATGATGTTTCTCAAACGTCTTGTCAAATAATTTATTTCAAGCAAAATCAAATAGTACGTTTATCGAAAAATACTTTCTTATAAATTCAACCGTTATGTAAAGAAGGGGAGTGGTGTACGAGCGAAAATGCGTACGTCATACAGATGATAAGAACGACGTTGTAGATGGCATGTACATGGCATTATTTCGACAGCGTCGTAATCTAAGCGGTGCAAAATCATTATCATTAAAAGCCACATTTATTCAGAGTGACAGTTAATGAGAGTTATACTTATATTGCGCGAATAATTTCCCATCGAATCGAAGTACAAATAGATGATATTTATGGAGACAACGACAATTTTTTCTATCGATAAACCATGTAGTAAACCTTAAGATTTTTGTAAGATTACAAACCCGATTGTATATTGATAATTAATGACTGAAACGGAAAGAATGAGTGAATAGAAAAAGTTGATTGCTATTAATTTTATATAAATGCTTTTCCTGGATCACTTTTTCACGTATCTTTTGCACGATTTTGTCGTGCAATCTGATACACTTTTTTCAAACACCTGTCTCACGTGTGCATTCTCTGCTCAATATACGTATCTTTTTTGAAATCGTGTTCGCATTACGCGTAACGCTAATTATTAATATTATTGTATTTTCTCCATTGCTTCATGATATTGAGATAATATCATAATGTTATTTCCGACGTTATTTCCACTACCGTTACTATCGTGATACATCCATGTTTCGCTCGTTGACTCGTATACTAAGAAAATCATAAAAAGATACATTTTTTGACGAATTCAAATATACGCATGTCTCTTGGACTGCACTCTAACGATCAGTCAATAGCAGCTTGTAATTTTACAAAAAATCAATATGACTTGGTAAAGCATTTATGTACACGTGGAAGTGCATGAAGTCATTAGAGTTTCAATGTTTTCCATCGTCACACACGACCCTGTGTCGTGACTCTTATCGTAAGATGTACGTCTATGTCTTTGACTTTATGCTAATGACGCTTATTTAAAATCGTTAGCATAAAGTAACGCGATGCTTGATCTATTCTAGTTACTTGTAGCGTGTATATATAATAATAACTTAAAAAAGAAGTGTATCTTTACACCAGAGTGTATATTCTTTTTCTAACGATATCATTCCTAAATGCTCTCATATCCATTAACACGTTTGCAACGATTTTGTTATAATTAATCTCACTTATTCGAGATGAAATCAAATGTGCATTTGATTAGAAAATGTATATTCCTTAATGCAGACTATTTCTATAAACTTTATAAGATTTGAATTAGGGAGAGATTATCAACGTGCATACGTGATCTTGTCTCGCTTATCAAAAGTACAGAAGGAGATACGAATGCATATTTCTCTCTCTTCCTCTGTCTCCGTTTGAATCTCTTTTCATGCGCATAATCGATAGCCACAATGTCGTAACGACTATAAGAATTCGACAGAATTCGGAGATGCACGTACGATGAGTGCACGTGCGATTCTTGTTATGCGACGCGGGCTAACAAGCCGGCGAGCGAGAAGGCAAACGAAGAGGCGAGAGTAGCGGAGCTAAGGAGTGGCGGACTAAATATAAATCTGTAGATCAGAAAACACGCACACAAACTGCGTAAT